CTCGTCACCAGCAGAAAGCACAATAGCAATTAAGTAAACACGAAAAAATTTCAACCCAAAAGTAAAGCAACAATGTGACCCTCTTCATTTATAAAYACTCCCCCATCCCAAAAAGAACCAGATTACCATGGCTGCTCCCATCAAAGTTTAGTTTAATAAATCTATCTGTAGGGGGTGATTAATGTCTATCAACAGGTTTCTTTTTTAATGAACTTCTTGCCACCTCTCCCCAATTTCTTCATATATCATCATAGGGCATAGGATAATGATGAGAAAATGTCCAATGTTCTCACCCATTGTATCACCCTAGCCATGATACATTCCATCACTGCTTCCTTCTTTCCTTCTCCAAAAAGACTCTTTCAGTCCTTTATTTATTTTCTATTATAAACAAATAAATATTTATTTATTTATCACTTCTGCATTTAGCTTACTAATACAGTGTTCCTTGCACATTTTTTTTGATCAATGGCTACTATGAAATTTTATCAATGATCAAAAAGAAAAGAGTACATAATATGATTACTTTCACAGTAAGGTAGATAACCCCGGCTAGCCACCCCTGTTGTTAGATTTACAAATCCCCCAAAACAAATGATTTCTTGCAGCACCCTGTTTTGCCAACCAACCACCTTGTTACTACCTTGAAATCCTTTTCAATTATAATGCTTGTGTAGTTCAATCACTTTACTCTTCTAAGGCCCTCCAAAGCAGCAGCAATTTCTTGGCTGAGAGTTTGGAAAGGAATTGAAAAGGCACATAATATGTTTGCAAAAGGAGTGAAATTCAAAATAGGAAATGGAGAACAAGTCAAATTTTGGAAGGATGTATGGTGATAAGGGAGGTCCTTGACTGAGAGTTTCCCGATTTTATTTGAAGTTGCAATGGACAAAGAAGTCAAAGTTGCTGACTGCTTGCAGATTCAAGATGGTAATGTGGTCTGGACTCCACGATTCAGGAGGAATTTAAATGATTGGGAAGTGGATGAGTGGATGGAGTTGCTAGAGCAGTTGTATAATTCACAGGTGGAGGCTGACAAGTATGACAGAAGAGTTTGGAAGTGCAAGAAGACTAGAGGCTTCACAGTTATGTCCTTTTATAAGGTGTTGGACACTGCAGGAGGACAATCAGTCCCAGTTCACATCATCTGGAGTAAAAGTATAACTTTAAAACCCCCTTTCTTCATATGGACTGCCTACCTTGACAGAAAAGTCACAAGGGACAACCTGTCATAGAAAGGCTTATTGCTAGATTCAGATGGCTGTGCAGTGTGTAAAGGACAGCAGGAAACAGTAAATCATCTTTTGCTGCACTGTAGTTTCTCTCACAGGATTTGGAGCTGAATCTCAGGTTTATTTGAAGTACAAAATTGCTGGCCAGGATCAATCGAGGAGTTTGTAAGAGGCTGTAGGGTGCAAGGGCTGTGCAAAAGAGGAAAGATGATCTGAAATATAACCCCAGCAGTGGTATTTGGTGTCAGTGGCAAGAGAGGAATGCAAGGGTCTTCAGAAACAAGTCTAGTTCTGCTGATGCTTTCTATCAGAAAATTTTAGGCAAGATGTTCTCATGGTTGGCTAGTCATAGGTTGTTTGTAGGTTTTGAGTCATTTCTTGTACTGTTGTACATGACAATCTTTATGTAAAGCAGGGCGGGAGGTCAAGGTCAGAGGGAACAGGTTTTTAGGGTCCCTGAGTATATCATCTTGCTGTACTTTCTGTTCATATTAATACATTTATACTTTACCTTCTCTCAAAGAAAGCAGCAGCAAGTTCAGCCCTTGTTGAATTGCCCACCCCAATAGGACCTGAGAAAACTGCAATTATATTACCTTCGTTGTTTATACTCACCCCTCCAATTCCAGACATCCTCACATGCCTGGATTGCCTATAATTACATTGCAGCCATCAAAATTGAACTTGACAAAGGGCACCAGTGGAGGTCTCCATCCAAACAGTAAATAGTGGCTTCCTTCAGCCACTGTATTCCAATTTCTACAAATATCATTAATGGAAAAGGGACAAAAATATCAAGTGTTTTAACCCAATGAACAACTTTAAAAGTAATGGTGTCTATAACTTCCTTGACTTCCCTGCGGAAAAACTCGGTATTGTTAAAACCTCTTTGATTCACCGCAACCTAGTTCATTGCCTCCACTCTATTTATTTTCTTGGGATAGCTCTCCCGCATTCTTCTCTTATTGTCTCCTTTCTTGACCTTCAGCAGCCAGAGTGCCATAACTTCTTTTGTATTAAGGTATTAAATTTTGCCAAAAATTTATTCATTTCTACGTAACATTTTTTCCATTGTTGCTGCATTTACTAAAGTGTAACCATAGATTTGATCCTCCATATAAGCATTATGAACATCTTAAATTTACAACATTTAGATATGATATGGAGAAGGGACGGGTACATATATCTCCACCAGCCACGACTCTTGAGTTCCCCCCAATCCAAATGATATTCAAAGTGGAAAATATGAATGAATGATGATCATCATCAACAAGAAAAAAAATGAAAGAATGCTTGTCTGTAAAGACATTCCACTAGCAGAAGTTGCACAGATAAAGGGAGGATTTGGGAGGAACCCCACAAAGGAAATGAAGCATGTCAAGTTTGCTAAAGAGACACCATTTTTGTGGCAGTGTAGCTACTTCTCCAAGGGCCAAAAGAAAGGAGGCCCACTACTATAATTCCTCACCATGATTACTAAAATAAGTGGATTGTTTTTTCTTGAAGGGAATATAAGTTTCATAAAACCAAACTAAAGTTAATCCAAATTAAGTTCTGGTCAAAGTGTTTATACATTACAACTTCTTTCCTTCTTTTTCTAGTAAATAGCAATACATTAATTACAAGTTGATATGGTATGCAGCAAGGATCCAAGTTCAAAACAGTTTCTAATTGTCAATAAAAAATTAAGTTCATCAATGCAAATTTAAAACAGGTAAACATTAATGCATGTCAAAATCATTTAAGTTCCAAGTTGCAAAGAGAGTAAAGGTGAAATTTGAATACAACAAAATTTCAAAATTCAAACCGAGAAACAAAATCAAGAAGTAAAAACATTGGAAAACAATAAGGTAGACCAGCAAAAAGACATGTTTCCTATTATAAATTGTATAGTATATTGAGTTTCACCTTCATGCGGCGCTCTCTTAATGCAAGCAACCCAGCTTCAGTACAAATAGCCTTGATATCAGCTCCAGAGAACTCATCTTTGGTCATCACAAACTCCTCTAAATTGACATCATCTGCCAATGTCATCCTTGATGTGTGTATCTGTAAACAATTATTAATAACAGAATTAAGCAAGAATATCTTCATTCAGATTGCACTAGAAAGTAAACCCTTGGTCATAAACACATGTTCATCAATTTTTGGTGCATTGTTGTGCTACATAGTACCTGGAAAATGCGCCTTCTTGTTTTAATATCAGGAAGAGGGAATTCAATCTTTCTATCTATCCGCCCAGGACGAAGCAATGCAGGATCAAGACTTTCAATTCTATTTGTTGCAAGAATCACCTTGACATCTCCCCTTGAGTCAAAACCATCTAACTGGTTAAGCAGTTCTAACATGGTTCTCTGAATCTCACGCTCACCACCTGAATGGGCATCATACCTGTGATTGTGAAACTACTTATTAGAAATGATTCCAGCAGCATCATTCACAATCAATACATATGCCTGGTCCAACTGCTCCAGGCACTAGTACTCCTGAACGCACCTTTTCGTTCCTACTGCATCAATTTCATCAATGAAGACAATTGATGGTGAAAGATCATCAGCAACTCTAAATAGTTCCCTCACCAATTTTGGGCCATCACCCAAGTACTTCTGGATCAACTCACTCCCAACAACACGCAAGAAAGTTGCTGATGTGGAGTTTGCCACTGCCTGAATGAAAGCAAAAATAAATTTCCATGCTCAAGAATTTTTAAACATAAATAAACTGTCAGAACACAATTTAGGTTACACAGTTATGTAGGACAAATGGAGTAAAATGACTGGTAGAGCCATACAGGATTAGCATCTCACATGTTGGTATGCATCAGTGACATAACCAAGTGCCACTAAAACCAAATTCATAATTTTATGCAATTATAGGTAATAAATAGCATTGCAATTATGATAGCAGACAAAATAACAGAATTTGGCCAGTACCCAACCTCACACTCTAAATGCCAACGGAACACGCGTTTTATTAAAACAGTTCAAGTTACCTAATATCCATCCTATTCGGTGGGGTGGGGCTTTGGGGGTTTAACAGAGAAGGTAGAAAACCAACAAGTGACCAGAAGCCATTGAGACATGTGTAGAAGGTAATTTGGAAACTCAAAGAATATCACTATGGTGAAGGATGTTAAGAGTGAACACATGTCTTATAGGGGCCTTTATGTCAGTACCATCCCCACACTTATTAGGGGCAGAACAACCTTTCAATTCTCTCATATTCTCTGTTCTCTCCACTCTCTCTCTCTTCTCCACCCATACTGCATACAACTTCTATCATTTACAAAGTAGACAACCAAATTTATGATTAAAAAATTGAGAGGTGGTGGATGAAGTAAGCCACTAATCAATTGAACTAATAATCTAAATTATCTAATAGACCTAATAAATCAATTAATTTCATTTGAAATTTTGAATTTCAAGTTTATCTTTTTAATAAACATAGATGTATTTTTTGTATTTTTTTCTGAATTTCTTAAAATTTTTATATGTATTTCTATATTTTTAATTTTTCAAAAATTTTGTGCGCCGCTTTGGAATCTTGCCCTCTTTTGCACCTCTCACTTTTAAAACACTGGCTAGGCTTGGATTTTCAGTCCTCAGGCTGGGCCTAGGTCCATAAGTTCAGGCTTTTTTTTATTTTCTGGGCTGAGCTCAGGCCCAGCCCATAGGTAGCCCAATCCCGGCCAGACCCTATCCCAACCCAAGTTCAACCCAACTATATGCATGCATATATGCATATATAGACACATATTTACAAGCATATATGCATGCTTTTTTTGAGAAATCATACATATATGCATGCATGCATTCATATGCACATACATATAGATCATTTTTTAGTGTGTGCTGATTGACCAACCTGAGCCCAGCCCGAGCCCAAGCCCAAGTTGTATAGTTTGGGCTTGACCTTGGGCTCACTCCAAGCTCAGGCTTAGGCCCAATTCTTAGGGTTGGTGTAGGTTGAACTTAAACTAGGCCCAGCCCACCCAACTTGCACCCCATTGACCTGGAGGGAAAAGCAATTCAACCTCCAAGCCGGGTTTTAAAACACTGATTCTAACAAGGTTTACATGTGGTCTTCAGGGTCCCCAAAAGAGTGAAAAGATCAGTAATTTGAGGGGAGGTAATAAAAGCAACATTCTTTTTACCAAAAAAAAACATAACTCCAAGAAGTTTGAGTTCAAGGAGATATTTGCTTTTTGTGTATAGTTCAGAGGTACATTAGAGTGGTTCATTGGGTGAAGACCTTGAAGCTGTTTGAGGACATTCCAGAAGGTGATGTGGTAAGAAAGTGAAGGATGTAGCTGATACGGATCCTATGAAGGAGGTTCTTTGGCCTATGTGGTCCCCTCCTGAGGTAGGATCTGTAAAACTGAATTTTGATGGCAGCAACGAATGTAATCCGGGTCCTTCAAGAATTGGAAGAGCCTTCAGGAATGATGAGGGTAATATCATTGCATTTTATTCCGGTCCAAATGTCCAATTGGGGTAGGCCGTAGGTGATTCTCCAAGGGCTGAAATTTTTGTTGTTGTGGAAGGAATTCAGAAAGCTAAGGACATGCATGCAGTGTTGTAAAAGTGAAAGGTGCAAAAAAGGCGCAAGGGCCATTTTGCACCTAGGGCACAAGGCACAAGGCGAGGTGCGCGCTTTTTTGAGGCAAGGCACACAATTTAAAAAAAAAAAGTAAAAAATTCAAAATAAATGTCAAAAAATTCAAAAAATTTCAAAAAAATGCCAAAAAATTCAAAAAAAGTAAAAAAAATTATAAAACAACATTAATAAAAATATAAACTTAAATTTTAAAATAAGTGTTTTAAAAAACCTATTATCTAAAATTAAAATACATAAACATAATATGTAAAGCATATTCAAATGAGAACTTAAAAATGAAATCAAACATATAAAACATTTTCAATCATATAAAACCCACAATCTCTTTTTTCTCAATTAAATCAAGTAGCTAATATGACATATTACATTCCTAATTCTACAACACGCCTTTGTGCCACGCCCCTCGAGGCAAGCCCAACCAGAGCTTCAAGAACCCCCTATTTGGTAATGCTGTCCATTCATTCATCCTAATAAAATATCTTCTTAAAAGCAATTAAAACTATAAAATCATTATTTTTTGTGTGAAAACTCAGAATTTAAGACCCTAACATGGACTTGTTTGGGCTGGCCTCGAGGGGTGTGACACAGGGGTCCGGGAGCAGAGACCCCGGCCCAGCCACTAGACTCAAAAAAAGGAAAAAGCGTCGAATTTTCAAAAGGCGCACATCTGGGATGTTATCTCAACCCTTTCTTTATTTATTTTTGTAACAGTTTTCATCTTAATAAGCCATCCTTTTATTTTACTATCATAGGAAAAGGAAACAACCCATCCAACAGCAAGAAATTAACTACCAATATTTTTAGATTTAATGAGAATAAGGAATATCTGCACTGTCAAGGAATTTTATTCCAGAAGCTTATATCCCATAGCATAACTTTTCCAGTTCCAAAACATGGATGTATGCAAAAAAGTCATTCATTTAATTCCTGTGTCAGATATTGAGTTCCATTTTTAAGTGATTTTACGAAAAGAATAGCTCAGCAGAAATATAAGTTACTATTTACTAACCCCCCTTCCCCCAACCAAACAAATAAGAAAAACAAAAAAAAGGAAATGTTTTCAAGAAAAGCAATTCAACATCATCCATGCCTTATCCCAACCATATGACTAGTTTTCAAGAAAAGCAATTACCTTCCCCTTTTCTGAGAAAGGGACAAAGGGTAACAGGTATAACTGTATAACTCAACTGCTCCGTTTTCAATTTCTTTGATTTTTTTCTTTAGAAAAAACATTTACTTCCTAGTCATTCTACATGCAAATGAACATTCGGAAAATGACATTGCTTTCAGGAAATAATGTTTTTTAATTTCCTTTTTGTCTTTCTTTTGGGGAAAATGACTTAGGATCTAATATAGTGCAAGTCATTTTCCAATCTTATGTGCAAATAGCAGAACCATTGTGTTCTTACAGAAGAAGAGATTATCAAACTATTCATACATATGGGAATCAAATAAAGCACAGCAATACAAAGAAAGCATTTTATGAGGTAAATGAACATGTAGCAAGATTAAACACCCATTCACAGTAGGGATAGACAAAGAATGCACCTTGGCAAGTAATGTCTTCCCTGTTCCAGGTTCTCCATATAGTATGACACCTTTTGGAGGCTTGATACCAATGTCCTCATACAATTCCGGATGAGTAAGTGGAAGCTCCACTGCCTCCTTAATTTCCTGTATCTGGGCATCTAATCCACCTATATCAGCATATGATTCCAATGGAGCTTTCTCAACCTTCATTACAGAAACCATTGGATCAACCTCATCTTGAAGAAGCCCAACAACAGAAAGTACCTGAAAAGCACATCTAAACAACATAAGCACTTCTGAAATCGTCTTTCTACAAGGTCTCCATAGATAAGATTATAGATTAAATAAACTAAAATGACCAAAAAGTAATAAATGAAGAAAGATGCACTCACACAACATATGAAAATTTAAAAATAACAAGAGTGGAACTGGAAGCAAGTGAAATTAAATGACCCATAAAATCCCAAAAAAAGCAAGTGAGAGAAATTTCGATATGACAATAATGTTCCAAGACAACATATATGTTGTAAGAACCACCTCGTACAGTTTACCCTAGTTTCTCACCTAGACCTACTTGAGCTGAGAAAAAGAGATGTTCCAGATGAAGGTTGGTTTCGTTTTAAGTTTGTGGGAAGGTGCTAATATATCAAAAATTGGAAATGGTGGGTGACAAGTGACAACTTCCACAAACAATAACACTTTTTGAAAACTACAAAAAGTAGGGTTTAGAAACTAGCCACCATATCATTGACATCTTGCTTGCATGATCTTTTTATTCTTATATGTACTTAAAAACTACTTTTCTCAAAGTGGGGCCTACTTTGAGAAAAGGAATGCTCAATTGGGTTGGTAGGGTCACAGGTTGCTCAATTGGGTTGGTACAAGATGAAGGAGCTCTGCAGAAATCAAAAAGGTCAAGGAGCTTCAAAAGGGATAGAGAAAAGGAGTTCCCTAAGTTTACACTATAATATAGCATATCCCCAACCACTTGTAGGATGAACCTCTATGCCATTTCCAACCATAAGCAGGAACCCATTCTTCTTTTTTGGTCCCATCTAACTCAAGTATTGGGTATGATTGGGACTTGGAGTTTAAAAGGGGACTAGATGAGTGTGAAATTTCAACTGTCATGAGTTTGATTTAAACCTTGAGGGGTTTGGCTGGATACAACAAAGAGGGATAGAAGGAATATGGACTTTGTCTCCCTAGGTTCTTCCACTTGTGCGTCCTTTTTCCCATCCCTTATTCAGCCAAGTGATAGTCTAGGGTTGCCTTTCCAGGTCAAGGAAGCGTGGAGTAAACCTATTCCGCAAAAGGGTGGGTGATTTGTGCTGGGAAGTGTTCCAAGAAAGAATTAATACGTGTGATTTATTGCAAAGAAAAAGACTTAATTGTTGTCTTTCCCCACACTGGTCTTCTCTGTGCAAGGTCAATGGTGAATTGCTATCTCTTATTAATCGCCTGCCCTTTTTCTTATTCAATTTGGGAATGGTTTCTTTCTTTGTTTGGATGCAAGTGGAACCCTCCTCCTAATGTACAAAGTTTGTTCTCCTCTACCTTTGCTAGCTGGCCAATGAAAAGGGGAAGAATTTTATGGAAGTGTACAAGTGCAGCCATTTGTTGGACAATATGGGAAGAGAGGAATCAAAGAATTTTTCTTGATAAAGGAGTAGGGATGCTATGATTGAAGCCATCACCATCAAAGTAGTCCATTGGGTGAAGACATTGGATATTTTTAAGGATATCTCTATGGACGATTTGATGAGGAATTGGACGAAGGTAGCTTCTTATTCTTCTATCAAGGAGGTTGTTTGGCCTTCTTGGTCCCCTCTTTCTGGTGGTTTTGTTAACCTCAACTTTGATGGCAGCAATGAAGAAATCTAGGTCCATCTGGCATTGGAAGAATCTTCAAGGATGACGAAGGAAAAGTCATTGCAATCTATTAAGGTCCAATAATTGGAATAGGTGATTCATTGAGGGTGGAAATTGTGGATGTTTTGGAAGGCATCAAAATGAGAGTTAAGCATCAAGAAGCTTTTAGTAGAGGGTTACTCAAAGCTTGTGATAAAGTGGTTTCGTGAGGAAGAGGAGGTTGGGTGGTGGTGTTATATCTACGAGAAGAGGACAATCAATAGACTGTTACAAGGGGTGGAAGTGAACTTCAAATGAGTGAGAAGAGATGCCAATGGTTTGCTGACACACTTGCCAAACAAGGGGTGGGAAGGAACAGCTTATTTTGGGCTATTTTGTAACTGAAATTTCTGCTGGGGAGAGCTAGGAGAGTTTATTTCTCCCCTTTTTTCATCCATTGTACTTGTTTCTAATTAGTGAAATTGATTCTGTTATTGAACAAAAAAAATTATCATATTTCTTAGTCAACTGGCCCAATAAACTACCTATTTTGACTTGCAATTCCACAATAAGGAATCCATTCTCCTTGCACAAAAGAAATTAAAGAGATACAAAACCTCAGTTTGTAATACAAATTCCCGATAAATAAAGGATTAAATTCCAGATGTATTTATTCTATTAGCAACTTAGCATGACCCAATTGGAATCTGTTTCTAATGCAAATTCCCGATAAATAAGGGATTAAAGTCCAGATGCGCTTATTCTGTTAGCATGACCCAATTGGCATCACAGAGCTGTCGTAAAATATACATACTACCAATAATGTTACAGTGCCAACTAAGCACAACTCTCAACTCTAGAACTCATAATTCTTCAACTTAAATGACTGCATCACGTCCAGATAAATAAGTAAATAAAACTACTAACCTACAGTACTAAGCAAAACCACATTTCCCACACTTACACCAGAAGACAATATGAGATACGGAACCCATTAAAAATGACACTATAAAATACTGTCTAGTTACAATATATCAAGTTCGGTTTAAGTTGAATCTCTTCCAAATCACATCGAAGAGTCAATTCTATACATGATAACTAACACTAATTAAGCAATAAAAGCAAACCAAATACCAAAAGATGAAAATAATAATAAACAAACAAGCGAGGAATCAAACCCCCAATAACAACAAATAACATTTTTTTCAGTTAACCCTAAATCAATCTCATCCTGCATAAAATTCCCATATCCAAGGCCCATAAAACTGAACATTTATTTTTTTCTCAAGAAGAGAAAAATATAACCTAATCCAAACCAACCTTGTTGTGCATAAGGATGGCACATCCAGGCTCAAGCTGGTCCTTGTCCACAAACGACAGTATCCCAACATAATATTCCGGGCCAACGGACGACGAAACGATGGCATGATTCTCGTCGATAAGCTCTTCAAGGTTTCCGACGCTCATTGGCGATCCCCGGAGATCATCGACCTTCGATCGGTCCTCTTCGTTCTTATCTTCTTGGGGCTTCAACCTCTCCTGGTTACTGACAAACTCTTCCTCCATAAGAAGGTAATCTTTGATGCGCTCTAGCTTTAAAAGCCGAAGCTTGCATTTTGTCAGAGGGGTTACGGTGGGGAGCCGCGCGGCTGCTTCAGGACCTTTCTGCTTTCGCTGTTTGCGGCCGACGCGGGCCGGTGGCGCCGCTGGTTCAAACTTCTTCTCTTTCTTATCGCCATCATGCTTTCGGTCGCCGGGAAGTCCTCCCTTGTTCAGACCGCCGGGAGTACCTTGACCCATAGTGAAGAAGAAGAAAAAGAAGAAGAAGGTAGAAAGCGGAAGAAATGAAGATCGGAGTAAAAAATCAATTCGTTTTATAATTGGGAAAATTGTAGATTAGTGCATGTAAATTGGGCTTACTCTCACTTTCGTCCCCAAATTTTAAAACCTCTACTAATGGTCTATTTGGTTCGTAGTCTGAATCCGAATTGGAATCGGAATTGAAATCGAAATCCTCGGGAATCGGAATCGGAATGGTTAATTCCTATAATATGTTTAGTTCAGATAGGGATGGGGATGGGAATGGGAATGGGAATTAAAATCAACAGAAATGGAACTTCATTCACGGTGGAAGGGAAGGGAATGGCCATTCCCTCAAATGGGGAAACGCCATTCCAACAGAAATGGGAATGGGATTCTGATTCCGCCCAATCAAACAGTTGAAATTCCAATTCCGATTTCAAACACCTATTCCTGCTAATCAAATGAGGCCTAAACTTTCAAAACATATCAATTTAGTGTAAAATTATTAAATTATTAACTACCATTAATTGTCATGTAAAAGGATGGTTCATTAGTTGCTAAAAAAGAATGAAATGAGATGAGAACGGAAATGTAATTTTCCAACTTTGAATCCTGTGTTTGGCTATTGATACCAAATATGTAAGAAAATTAATTTTTTAGTGTATGATTGGTGGGAACTAAAAGGATCAAGCATAAGTGTTCGGCAGCATGTTCAAATCTACAACATCCTATAAGGGTCAGGCATAGGTGTTCGGTGGCGTGTTCAAATCTACAGCATCCTATAAGGATCAGGCACAGGTGTTCGGCAGCATGTTCAAATCTATAGCATCCTACAAGGATCAAGCAAAAGTGTTGATGGAATGTTCAAATCTATAGCATCCTACAAGAATCAAGCATTGGTGTTTAGTGGTGTGTTCAGTCCAATGTTGGTGGCCAGTAAGAGCAAAGTGGCTTGGTAATTGGGTGTTGTGGGTTGTTCATGGCTTGCTTGGTGAAGAACAGAGGTGGGTTGGTAATTGGGTGTTGGTTGTTCATGGCATGCTTGTTGGAGATCAGAGGTGGGACCTTCTATGACATGATGGATGAATAAGAGTATAAGGAGGTTGTAGCATCTAACACAGTGATGATGTTTGAATTTGAACAAATCAAAATGGTATTTGGTGGGATGCCTTTAGGGGTTGAAAATGGTGTTCGCCAAGATGGTATAAGGAGATCGTAACGGTTAATGGCATTCATGACTATAAGCTCCGAGAAAATTATGGCCGACTCAAAAAGATGGAGTCGTCACCATTTTTTTAGAGGAAATGGACCATCATTTTTAGATTCGAAAAATTTGACTTTTCCATAGAAAAGGCACATAATCGAGAGATTTCGGGTCCCAAGGATTGGGAGAGGGAAGGTATTAGGCACCCCTCTTTTCAAACTGCTGTAGCAACCCAATACGAGAATTGTTGAGGCTCAGTTTCTTTTAGAGAAAAACATAAATAGTTGCAAGAATTTCTTAAATCTGGAGAAACATGCTTCCAACTTCTCCTATGACCAATTTTGAGGTGATGTTATCAGGTCTTAAGTACTGACTTCCCTAAGACCCTCGCCTCTTTGCCTCTATTCTCAGTCAAGAAAAAATTGTAAATGATGGTTCTCCAACATTTTAGAACCTCAAGCAACCCAGAAAAACTAAAAAAAAAAAAGACTTACATTTCGTATGTATCTTATCAAAAGTTTTTTAGTAGCTAGGATGAGATAAAATCAAGTTCAAATCGGTTCTTGAATTAGGGAATGCTTTTGGTTGCAACAACTTCCACTTGAAAATGGAGGAGATGAGTTTGGAATTTAAGGTTCAGAGTACCTCCATATTTCGGATGAATAGGAGGTAGTACATGGGCTAGGAGAAAGCTCTCTTCTCTCTTTCTTTCTACCTCAAGTTTCTTCCCTTCTCTTGTTTTCTCCCCCTTCTCCCCTTTTAAGCTCGAATTATATCAGTATTTATAGAGAAAGGGAGGGGGTCAAGTCTGAATTCGTTTAACTACAGTGTTTGGGATTCAACAAAGATTTTTTACACAGATAGGCAAAGATTCTTCAAAGGAATAGATGCCCAGTCAAGCTTTCCTATTTGGTGAAATATTTTTTTTTTATTTTGGAGTGGTTTTCATGGGTTATGTGCGTCAAATGGGAGCTTGGAGCATGCATGTCATGTCAGTCTCGTATTTGGGGTTGTTAGTGGTAGAAAATGTAATTTAATGAACTTTTAAATGCTATTTTCTCTTGTCTTGGTTTCAAGTGGAACTGACATCAGCCATCACCCTTTTGAGGCTTCAAGTTGGGATGGATGTCGTGGCCATTTAATTCGGAACATTGAAATGGTATCTTTCTAGTTTAATGGCCAAACGAATGAATTAGGATGTGAAATTTGACATGCTAGGGTTTTTTGGGTATTTGAGCACAATGGTGATGTCTGATTGGTCAAATAGGGTCAAGATGATTGAGATCTATGGCTAAGTTTGGATCAACAAGATTTGCTGAAATATAATATTTGTTTAATGAAGAGTCAAACGGGAGAATTTTGGTGGGTTAGCACTTTTGAATGTCTTGAATCTAATGGAAGTGATGGATCTTTGATTAGAGGTGTAGATTGACTATTTTAGTTCATATCATGGTCTTAGCTTATGGTTTTTCAATCAATGAGAAGGTCTGAAATGGAATCTTACTTTTCCAACGATCAAATGGAAGTGTTTGGTTGTAAAATTTGATATGATGGGGGTTTTTTGGGTCTCCAAACATAGTGGTAAGGTCTGTTTGGTCATATGAAGTTGGGATGACAGATGGTATACTCTAATTAATGAGATTTGTTGAAATATGATATATGCTTAATGGTGGATTAAATAAGGGAATTTTGAGCTATAATTTGGTGGGTAGGTATGGATTAAGGTGAGGCATCGAGCGGATAGTTCTGATCTGAGAAAGATATAGTCGATCTTGACAATCATTCAGGGCCTTCAAAATGGGATGTTGGTGTTTTTGTGGTTAATCATCGTAGATTCATGGTGGAATTCGCTAGTTGATTGCTTGAGGTGATGGGTGTATTGGATTTGATTTAAAGAGTTAGAGTTTGAATACAGCATAGATCGGGGCTATTAGAAAGGGAGTTGGCGTGATGGACGGTGGATCTTTGGAGTTTAGTCATGAAAACTAATGTGTAACTAAGTTGTAGTTTTCCAAATCTGGGGATGATGTTTGATCGGACATTGATGTTGATTTCAAAATTCTTACTCCTCCCGTAGATTGTATCAAGGAGGGTATTTCGGGCTTTAGAATGTTTCAAGTTGATCTGGTTGTATTTCTAGGTTTTTGGCGTCTAAGAGGAGGGTATGAAGAGGTAGGGTGAAGAGACCGAGCAAAAATTAGGTGCTAACAACTGCCCCTCTTTGTTGGAGGTAGCAAGATGCCGAACAACAACAAAAAAATGAGCACATGAAGATTTTTTTTAGGGCCAAAAGTTTGGAGTTGGAGATTTCACTACTAGAATTTTAGCTAATGTTAAAGTTGATGTGCAAAATCTTTGCTTGGAAGTTATTTTTATGGGTTATGATTTTTGAAAATAGTTTTTGATTTGAACATTTGATGGATTTTGACTTTTGATTTGAATTTTTATGGGTTTTGATTAGTTATTTGATTTATGAATTTTTATTTTTTATCTAAGTTTTTACGGGTTTTAATTTTTGAAAATATTTGATGGAAGTTTAATATGAATTTTGATTTTTGTGGATTTTGGTTTTTGAAAATATTTGATGGAAGTTTAATATGGATTTTGATTTTTGTTTTCGGTTTTTAGGGGTTTTGATTTTTTATATTTGATGTTGAAATCATTTTAGGAAACCATTTTGAAAACTTGACAAAGGTCCTGTGATTGTTATAGCGCATGTTGTCAGTTAGATAGGTAAATAGAGCCCTTCAGATAGGTGTTACCTACACATAAGGGTGGTTTGAGGATAAGGTGGTCTGGTCACAACTTATCAAGTTTTCTGTGCTTCTGGACATACTACCAAGCATCGGGGGCAAAAGATTTTTGAATTCTACAATTGATTTTAGGAATGCTCAAATTGAAAGTTTTCTTTTATAAGTGATTTTCCCAAAGGTAGCTCACACGAGATTTTTTTTTTGGATTAACAAGCCACACAAAGTGATAGATTTTGATGAATTTTGATGGGTATCCAATTATTCTTGAAGGCGAATCACATGAAGTGAAAGATTTTTATGGATTTTGATGGGTATTCGATTATGCCCGAAGGTGGATCACATGAAGCAAGAGATTTCGATGATTTTTTATGGGTATTCAATTATGCCCAAAAGCGGATCGCACGAAGCGAAAGATTTTAATGAATTTGGGACAAAGCAAAAGATTTCGATGATTTTCTATGAATATTTGATTATGCTTGAAGGTAGATCGCACAAAACAAAAGATTTCAATGAATTTGGATGAATATTTGATTATGCCCGAAGGTGGATCATATAAAGCGAGAGATTTTGATGAATTTAGATGGGTATTTGATTATGCCCAAAGACGGATCGCATGAAGTGAGAGATTTCAATGATTTTTTATGTGTATTCGATTATGAGAGATTTAGATGAATTTTGATGGGTATTTGATTATGAGAGATTTTTATGAATTTTGATGGTATTCGATTATGAGAGATTTCGGGGAATTTCTATGGGTATTCGATTATGAGATATTTTGATGAATTTTGATGGGTATTTGATTATGAAAGATTTCGATAGGTATTCGATTATGAGAGGTTTTGATAAATTTTAATGGGTATTCGATTATGCCCGAAGGTGGATCACACAAAGCAAGAGATTTTGATGATTTTCGATAAGTATTCGATTATGAATGACTGATGAATTTCGATGGGTATTCGATTATGCCCAAAGATGGATCAAATAAAGCGAGAGATTTTGATGACTTTTTATGGGTATTCAATTATGATAGATTTTGATGAATTTTGATGGATATTCGATTATGAGAAATTTTGATGAATTTCGATGGGTACTTGATTATG